TATTCAAGGTCAAATCAATGACACCATCTCATGTCCCCCTTGAAACCATACAACCATACAACAAAAGAGAATATGAAAAAATGTTCTATTAAGAAATTGAGGATGACCTTCAAATCATTATCCAAGACAAACCAATGACACCATCTTATGTCTTCTTCGAAGTTACAAAAGTTTTGTTCGAAATTTTTTCCTGAAAATCTTTTATTTTCAAGATAATCGGCTGCATAATGTAAAATCAAATATCCTGTATACTTAATCAAATGATTAACTATTTACTTACTCTAAATATCAATATGATTTTAACCAATTAATATATACATATAATGTTTTTTCAATTGAAGTATGTATAAAATTGTATGTCGACTTAATATGTGCAATACAAATGTAGAATACTGGAGACACATAAAATATTTTGTTAATTTATACTTTTTAAATCATTAAATCTCTCTCTTTATAAGAGAGATATTTCTAAATCGGCATAAATTATATATTTGTATGTATATACATATTCTACATATTTAAATCAATTAAGAAATTTGGTAATGTTTAGATTTAATGAGATTTCAAAGGTTTATAAATATAATATAATAATGAAAATAATTTCATATCTAAATCGAACATTCTACATATGTGCTACGTTGATATTGAAATACGATCAAAGGCGTGCCAAAATACAAATATATAATAATCATGAAAAATAAATCAAAGTAAAAAAAAGAAAGAAATATGATTATACTTACTTCTTACTGTGTGTTCCACGAGCTATGCGTAGAGAACAAACTTTTCTAGAATGCTGCAGACTTTTTAAAATAATGCAGATAAATAAAGCGATCCCCAATATATTAGTCTCAATATTTCTTTTGTGACAATGCTGTAACAAAATAAAAATTACAAATAAGAAAAAGAAACTATAATTATAAATTATAAAATATAATACCTATTTCTTTGTCGCACTACTGTAGAAAACACACTACTGTTGTGTATATGAATATAAAGCTGCGATAATATTTTCTTGCAACGCTGTAACAAAATTAAAACTAAGAAAAAGAATTATATGAATATACACATATACAATATATATGATTTCTATTATTTTTATCACATTTTACTTTATTATATATTAGCTTCCTCTATTGTTTAATAGTATTATACTGTTGCGTCCTCGGGACGCCTCTCGCTCAGTCACTCACACACAGTCACTCTCACTCGCGCGCGAAATAAAGACACTTGCGTAATAGGGAAATGAACTTTAATATGAGGATCCAATACACGAAACCAATGAAATATAACAAATAGTGCATTCGTAATGCAAAGAAGCCCGTCTCGGAAAACGTCCACACGATGCGACCGCTAGACCAAATCTGTCTTGTCTCCCGAAAACAGAAGAAGACCCTTAGTTGTTTAACAACAACTCCCTTGACGACGATCTCCCGGAGGCGTAAAGAGTTGATCCCGCGAAAAGTATCACTTGATACAAAGATGTAGATCCAGGGGCGTAACACGGGGGTGCAACAATACTTTGATAAATGCATCAAAGACATACAGGGTTTGTCCGGAAAGTAATGCGTCGCATTTTTTTAAAAAAGAATTTATTGATCGCATAGGTAAAACAACTTAAAATTGTTCGAAGTATGACCCTTCTGCGTCAATACATTTTTGCCAACGCGATTTCCATGCGTCATAAGATTTCTGGAACTCCTTGACTGGGATGCTGTTCAGGGAGGCCGTCGAAGTAGCTTGTACGTTGTCAACCGACTCGAGCTGTTGTCCTTTGAGCTCCCTTTTCAGCCGAGGAAATAAAAAAAGTCCGCCGGGGCCAAGTCGGGACTGTAGGGCGGCTGCGCACCGTTGCCACACCGATCCGGGTCAGGTAGGCCGTAATAACAAAGGCGGTGTGAGCGGCCGTTGTCGTGATGGAGTTTCCATGAGCCGCGGATCTCCTTTCGAGCGGGCGATCCTGTGATTCAGTCTCTGAGCACTTCCCTTGTAATTGAGCGTTGAACAGTCTGGCCGGGGGGTAACGAATTAATGGTGCAATATCCCTTTGCATCAAAAAAACAATGAGCATTGACTTCACCCGTGACTTTGCTCATGCGAGCCCTTCTTCGGAGCTGCGACACGTCGTGTGCCATTCCGCACTCTGCCTCTTTGACTCCGGATCGTACTGAAAGACCCATGACTCATCCCCAGTGATAACGTTGTTCAGGAAATTGGGATTATCTGCACAGAGTTGCTTGAGTTCTTCACAAACTTCCACTCGGTGTTGCTTTTGCGCATCGGTCAACACTCTGGGCACAAGTTTTGCGCAAATCTTCCGCATGGCCAAGTCTTCCGATACAATCTCGTGAACAATCGTTTTCGGCAAGTTCAATAATTCCGACATTAAGCGAACATTCATTCGACGGTCTGAATTCAATAATTGGCGCACACGAGTCACATTGTCGTCCGTTCGCGATGTTGACGGGCGTCCTGCGCGGGCCTCGTCGGCGACCTCCTTCCGACCTTCTCTAAACATCTTGTGCCATCTGTTTGACTGCGATTTGGAAAGGCAATCGTCCCCGAAAACTTTCTTGAGCATTTCAAAAGTTTCCAGCGGCGTCTTGTCCAGCTTCACGCAAAACTTTATCGCATAGCGTTGCTCTATCGTTCTCTCCATCACAAGTTCGACGCGACCACTAAGCAGAGGTTCACAGAATAAGCCGTCCTAACCCTCCAAGCGCATGGAAACAATTGAGCGACCTACCGTTGGAAAGCTAAGGGTACCCCCCTTCCTCCCCAACCGGTCCCATCGCTCTGCGATGTATAGTCGCGTCACAAAAAAATGCGACGCATTACTTTCCGGACAAACCCTGTATTGTGGTACATCATATCATATAACAAAAAGGCTAATTTAGAATAAATGTACGCAAAATACCATCAAATGCATGCATATTAAGAAACAGGAAGCAATGAGAATAAATAGATTAGACTAAAAATAAGTATATAAAATGTAAAATGTAAGTTCACGATAAACAAATCTGAGTTTAAGGGTCGATTGCACCAACATTATTTTGGCTTTAAGTCTTGCTTAAACCAAAATATGTATTTCTTTATTGAAAGAAACATAAATAAGATATAGGTATACATATTTTGTCCAAAAGAAAATGTATTGTTGCAATCGGGCCTGTCCGATTATTAATTTTAAAGTTAACTTGCAGTTGTAAAACAATTTTATAGTGAATTTTATAATAATATATTTAGTGAAATATATAATATATTGACACAAAATAAGATAAATTTTGAAAGAAATGAAAAGGATTTATATTTACAAAAAATTATATAAAAATAACAGACTTACTTTCACACCGTCATGCGACAAGATATCACAGGAAAAGACCGGTAACCCACTATCATAGAAAAAAACACTATCACAAACCGCGTGGCGTGTACGTTTACGCGCCAAAACGCTCTGCACTTAAATGGCTCCATACGACATCCTGTAACGAATATTCTGCGTAATTCAAAAGTATATCTTGAAAATATACGCGAATATACTAATAATAATATACTAGAGATATTAAAATATATTCTAAGAATATACAAAAAATAATATATTGCAAGAGATATTATAAAGATATTCTCAGTATCTTATGTATATTGCGTAAATTAAGGGGATCCTAAATGATTTTTTTACCGACCGAATGCGAGAATATTTATTTTTTTCATAAAACTTTTTATTGACTATACTGATCAATAAATCCTTTTCCATGATTAAAGTACTTATAAAAACGGACCGCGCTAGCTATGTTTGCATATATAAATCATATAAAAATCAAAAATTACAGTTTTGTTATCGGCTGCTTTGTGTCAGTTCGTAATAATACTTATTTAATAAAAAATGTTTTGCAGTTTGTCTGTGCATGATAGTATGCGCGGTAAGGATTATATGAAGAAATATTAGTAAGCAATTAAAAGTGAGATTGCAAGTCTAATAAAAAAGTTATATATAAAAAAACATTTCACGCATATGTGTGTGTGCAAATTGAGGCTGCGGAATAAAACAGAGCAGTAGATTAGTTGCGTGATATCGTGATAGATGGAGCTGCAACGTGTTTCTCTCTCTCTCTCTCTCTCTCTCTTTCTCTCGTTCTCTCTCTTTCTGTTTTTTATAGGTCTGTTCGTTTTGGCTACACTGGCCACATTAGTTCAGAGGTTGTCTTTTTTGTTCGACATTGGAAGGAAAAGATAACCTCTGAATTAGTGTAGCCAATGTATGCCATTATATATTTATGTTTGATAATATAATAATACATCAATTTTTTTCTATAAAAAAACTATATATAAAACAGAAAAATTTTGTGTTATTTATATTATCAAACACATGAAATATATAATGACATACAATTTTATTTTAATTATATTTGTATAATACAATAATATTCACATGATTTTTATAGATAATAAGTATATGCATTTATAATTTATAAAAACTAAATCTTATTTTTCATACATCGAAGTAATTCAAGTAATGATTTTACTGAAATATATATGTTATGCGAGACAACGCGTTCAGATCGCGCGTGCCATAATACCCCTTCCCGCTCGCGGATCACGCCGCTAGAGCGTGATCACACCGTGTACGCAGAGCGTGAAAGAGAGCCTCGTCCTCTGAGCGAGGACTCTTTTGTAGACCGCGTGCGAGAACGGACGTAGCGTTTCAGGCACATATTAGATATTTACCCTGCCAATTCATCTTATTGTAAAGATAGCCATACCTTACAATAAAGTAGTATTTTTTGGTAATCGTTCTCCGAGTGATTCATACGAAGTGCCCTATTCATTCACTTTCTTGCCCACGAATACACAACAGAGAAATGGCGACGAGGATGGGATCTTAGAGACCGAAAAATTCATTCTTCCGTGTTTCGAGTAACGGGAGCAAGGAGAGCAGACCGAAAACGCTGGCTAGCAACGGGATAAAATCCGAGGAGACGAACACGCCACCGGCGCGTGTGACCAACATGGCGAGTGTAGTGTTACACGGGAATCTTTCGATCGATATTTTCGACCCGGCGACCACAGAATGGAAACGATGGTTGCAGAGATTCCAAGCAGCGATCACTATTTTTCAAGTTCCGGCAGAACAACGGGTACTGTACCTATTACATTATATCGGGTCCGCCGCTTTCGATGTGATTTGTAACAAAATGGCACCGGCGGATCCTTACTCAACTACTCTCGAAGAGTTAATAAATAACCTAGGAGAGTTCTATGCGCCGGAACCGTTGGAGATCGCGGAAAACTTCCGTTTTCACCAAAGAAAACAGAATGACGGTGAACCGATTAAGGACTTCGTCGCGGCATTACAAAAATTGAGCGTTCACTGTAAGTTTGGTCCATACTTAAAGACAGCTTTACGAAACCAACTGGTTTTCGGACTGGCAAGTTCACGGGCCCAGTCCCGTCTACTGGAGACTAAGGACCTCACTTTTGATAAGGCGGTCCAGGTTGCCACCGCTATGGAGTTATCGGAGAAAGATTCACGCCAGCTACAATCGAAGACGGCCGAAATAGAGTACGTGGGCCCGAAGGACCGCAAGCCGGAACAACGGGGACCGCGGAAGAAGAAATTCACCTCGGGAAAGCCCGCGAAAGAGAAGATTGAAGCGCACAAAACGAATGTCGGTAAACTACGTACAGGCCATTCGAGTACGTCCGTGAATGCTAATATATCTTGTTACAGATGCGGTAGAAACCACCTAGCTAGCAAATGCACTTTAGACAGGAATATCAAATGCAATTTTTGCGGTACACCAGGCCACTTGCGCAAGGTCTGTATGGGGGCGAAGCGCGCCTCAGCGAACCAGGTCGAGGAAGTATTGCAGGTGGAGCATTGCGAACATAGGGGCAAATTTTTCAAAACGCTCGTAGTAGATGGAAAGCCTTTGCGTTTTGAGATAGATAGCGGGGCAGCGGTTTCTATTGTAAGTACTAGCACTGTTCAAAGATTATTTCCCCGCCGTCGGCTTAAACAGACGACCATACAATTGATGACCTTCTGTAAAACACCTATCCAAGTAATCGGCGTGCTTCCGGTATCGGTGACGTGGCGCGACGACATACTTACGTTAAATCTATACGTCTCTGAGGTCGATCGCGAGCCTTTGTTAGGTCGCGAATGGATACGTCAGCTACACCTATTTCATTTAGTAGATTCGATAAACATGACCCAAGTCATTGAAAACAGTACACGAAGTAAAATCGAACGACTGTTAGATTGCTACAAAAAGAAATTAGACCCGAGTCTTACAAAGATACGAGGCTTACAAGCCAGTTTAACTACAAAGGAAAATATCAATCCTATCTTCCTAAAAGCACGTACAGTACCCTTTAAACTAGTACCCTTAGTGGAACAAGAATTACAAACACTGGTAGAGGACGGGATTTTAGAAAAGGTCAATACGTCGCGTTGGGCTACACCTATTGTGCCCGTATTAAAGAAAAACAACAAAATACGTATTTGCGGAGATTTCAGCGTCACGATAAATCCTAATTTATTGACCGATAAATATCCGCTCCCCACCGTCGACGAGTTATTTGCGTCCATGGCCGGGGGCACAAAATTTACAAAGATTGACCTACAACAGGCTTATTTACAATTAGAAGTTCGGGAAGAAGATCGCGAATTGTTGACATTGAATACACATAAAGGTCTGTTTAGAAGCACAAGGCTAATGTACGGGATCGCGTCGGCGCCAGCTATTTGGCAGCGTGAAATTGAAAATATCTTAGGGGACATACCGGGTGTGTCTGTTTTTCTTGATGACATCAAAATCACAGGACCTGATGAAAACACTCACATGTGCCGTTTAGAACAAGTACTCTCACGTTTAGCAGACGCAAACATACGAATTAATGAAGAAAAGAGCGAATTTTTTAAAGACAGCATACTTTACTGCGGTTACAAGATCAACAAAAGCGGAATACATAAGATAACCGAGAAAACCCAAGCCATTGATAATATGCCACCGCCACAAAACGTAACCGAATTGCGCTCCTTTCTGGGGATGGTTAATTATTACGGGCGGTTTATAAAAAATTTAAGCACAATCCTTCACCCATTACATAAATTACTACAGAAAAAGGTAAATTACAAATGGACACGAGAGTGTGAAAGAGCCTTTCAATCCACGAAAGAAAATTTTAAAAAAGATACAGTGCTAGTACACTTCGACCCGCGATTACCTTTAATTCTAGCTACAGATGCGAGCCCATACGGCGTCGGGGCTGTACTATCTCACCGCTATCCGGATGGGTCCGAGCGTGTCCTGCAATACGCATCACAGACATTGACAGACACGCAGCGGAAGTATGCGCAGATAGACAAGGAAGCGTATGCAATTATTTTCGGAATTAAGAAATTTCATCAATATTTATACGGAAACAAATTTACACTATTTACAGACCATCGACCTCTCGTACAAATACTCTCACCTACAAAAGCCTTACCTACTTACACAGCATTACGAATGCAGCATTATGCTATTTTTCTACAGGGCTATACCTTCGACATTAAGTACAAAAATACGCGACAACATTGCAACGCTGATTGTCTATCTCGCCTACCAGTTCCAATGATACCTAACATAGAGCGCGACGTGGTCGACGTCTACGAGATGGAAATATTGCAGAACACACCCGTGTCTACAGACAAATTAGTACAAGCGACCGCAGCAGATACACAATTACAAAAAATACTCAGAGCGCTACGCGAGAACAAAGAAATACCGGCTAAATTGCGTTTCAATATTAATCAAGCGGCCTTTAGTATACAGCAGGAAGTACTTTTTTGCAATGGAAAAATTGTTATCCCACAATCATTACATAAGCGATTCTTACGTGATTTACATACGAGCCATTTCGGCATAGCAAAAATGAAGGCTTTAGCGAGGACCTTATATTGGTGGCCTGGTATCGATAAAGCCATCGAAGAAATGGCAAGAAATTGTAAAATATGTAACTCCCTACGAAATAACCCACCGAAAGTCGAACCTCACGAATGGGAACTCGCGTTAGTCCCGTTCGATAGATTACACCTCGATTACGCGGGCCCCTTTATGAACGCCTATTTTCTCGTTATAGTAGATGCGTGTTCAAAGTGGCCTTTTGTACATATAGTTAAGGATATTACTGCGAAAACGACAATTCAAAAATGTAAAAGCATTTTCTCGATTTTTGGAAACCCAAAAATCGTGGTAACGGATAACGGGCGCAATTTCCGTTCAACAGAATTCGTACAATTCCTTAAAACTAACGGAATTACGCCAAAATACACTGCACCGTATCACCCTGCCACAAATGGGCAAGCGGAAAGATTTATACAGACAATGAAAAATTCATTACGGAAAATACTAACCGACCCTACAAATAGAAGATTACGTTTAGAAGATGCATTACAACAATTCTTAGTACAATATAGAATCACCCCTCATTGTACCACAGGAGTTGCACCTTTCGAGAAAATGTTCAATAGACAAATGCGCACATATTATACTACATGTGTACCGGAAAAAGAACAAGCATCTGCAAACTTTAATTTAAACAAAAAAATCCGCGAATTTAAGGTGGGGGAGAGTGTGCAATGCCGAAACTACAGTGGAAACGTCAAATGGAAACACGGAAAGATCATTCACCGCCTGGGTAAATTACACTATAAAATAGAACTGGATGATGGCAGAGTCTGGGAACGCCACGTAAACCAATTGCTGCGATCAGGAGAATTTTGGGACCACCCCGACGAACCGCAAACAAAAAGGGAACCAAACGTCCCGGAAACACCGGAGGAAACGGAAATACAACACACCCATAGCGGCGCCGAACAACCACGACCACCGGAAGTGCATCAATCTCCAGAGAGAGCAGAAGTATCCGTCCAGAACCAGGCAGGAGACGTCGGACGCCCAGTACGCATGAGGAAGCCACCGGAAAGATATACGGACACTGTATACTATCGGAAGTAACGACGGTTTCTTCTTTTTGTTGTTACGAGGGGAGGAGTGTTATGCGAGACAACGCGTTCAGATCGCGCGTGCCATAATACCCCTTCCCGCTCGCGGATCACGCCGCTAGAGCGTGATCACACCGTGTACGCAGAGCGTGAAAGAGAGCCTCGTCCTCTGAGCGAGGACTCTTTTGTAGACCGCGTGCGAGAACGGACGTAGCGTTTCAGGCACATATTAGATATTTACCCTGCCAATTCATCTTATTGTAAAGATAGCCATACCTTACAATAAAGTAGTATTTTTTGGTAATCGTTCTCCGAGTGATTCATACGAAGTGCCCTATTCATTCACTTTCTTGCCCACGAATACACAACAATATATTTGATAGACATTGTGATTCTAACGAATTTTATTTGTTCGCATATACCTGTAAATCCTAAAAAAATCATAAAAATGAAAAGGTCAGGCCATGTTCAAAAGAAGGCACTCAAAAATTTAAACGATCTAATAATAAATTATCACGAAAAGTAACTGATATGTTATTCAAGGTGCCAGTTCAAAGTGAACATACGTAAAGTGTATATTATCTAAATTTAGTAATAATATATTACCATGAAAAATAACTGTGATATTTTATTCAAGGTGCAAGTTCACATTGAACATACATATAATACATATAAGTAAAACTGATTACAATTTGATTCTAGAAAATAAGTGCGATATGTTATTCTTAGTGCACAAAATATAATAGTCGTTTATAGAGATTTGATTTGAAATTCATACTAGCCCGTACAATGAAAAATAATTGCTCGTAATTTCAGAGTACCAATTTGTTAATTACTCAGAAAAATAACATGGCGGCCTGCTCTCAAAAAACTATGATGTTTCTCGATGTCCATTTAGAAATAATGTCGAAGCTCTTACAGAATAATTACTACAACATTTGAAGTACGAAAAGTATTACATTAGAAGAAGATTAGATTAGAATAAGGATTCAACGTATTTTTAAAAGCTCTACACACAACGAAGTGAATATACAAAACTATATACAAATACCTTTTTTCTGTGTTTCTGAAGAAAATCTTTTAAATAGAAAATAGTGTCTTGCGATCATGAAGAATAGGTTTTAAATAGCAAGGTTTCATTTGACTTATAATTTTCGATATTATTCACTTAATTAATATGTAATTTTTTATTGTATATTACGACAAATAATCAGTAAACTTTTTAAGCGTATAGCTTTATTGTACTTGACCTGAGAACTGTACATTTATAAATTTTACTTAATATACACCCGTTTCGAGCAACAAGGCAAGTTTTTCTGATCAAACTTACTCCCTGAAAATACGGTATAACACAAATTGGAAGTTGATACGAAAATCGCAATTTTACTAAAGAAAGATTGGAGGTTTTTAATTTATACTTTTCACAACTCTTATTTCAATTATTTCTTCTAACCCATCGAAAGTTTTTTGAGAGCAGGCCGCCATGTTATTTTTCTGAGTAATTAACAAATTGGTACTCTGGAATTACGAGCAATTATTTTCAGTGTACGGGCTAGTATGAATTTCAAATCAAATCTCTATAAACGACTATTATATTTTGTGCACTAAGAATAACATATCGCACTTATTTTCTAGAATCAAATTGTAATCAGTTTTAATTATATGTATGTATGTTCAATGTGAACTTGCACCTTGAATAAAATATCACAGTTATTTTTCATGGTAATATATTATTACTAAATTTAGATAATATAACTTTACGTATGTTCACTTTGAACGGCACCTTGAATAACATATCAGTTACTTTTCGTGATAATTTATTATTAGATCGTTTAAATTTTTGAGTGCCTTCTTTTGAACATGGCTGACCTTTCATTTTTATGATTTTTTTAGAATACCTTACTTTTTAAAGTACAGATATATAGAGCAGCTTTCTATAATAGTAATTCAATGTATAAATTAATAGTAATTCAATATCACAAATATATGTATTTTTCGATTCTTATCACATAACTTTGTATAGTAACAATTTATGCAATACAGTCAAAATAATTGAAATATTGGTATATATTTACATATATAAAATATATAATTATATTATAGTATACATATATATTTTTATTTATTCATATATGTAAATGTTTGTATAATTGTAATAACTTTTAACGAGACCTTGCACATTTATTTCAATTGCAACAGAATGAATTTTATATTCTTGTATGAATATTGAAAATAAAGAATGGGGCCCTCCATCGCCCATTCTCGTGAGAACGCAACATATATTTTTCTTCGTCTCTCCGATTTTAAAACGACATACATATTTATGTCTGATAATTTTTTTTTCTTGATGATACTTTTTTGAAATGTCACGACGCCTAGGTCAATTAGAAACTTATTGCACTCGTTTTAACGCAGCGCTTACAGCAGCTTTTTATAAAGCGCCAGAGCAGCCGATATTTTTATTTTGGCGCTTACGGCAACTTTATATAAAAACACCAGCAGATAGAAAGTTTGATGTTTTAATGTAGAGTTTACGGAAAGCCTTTATACAGCGCCAGAGCAGCGATGTTTTATTTCTGGCGCTTACGGCAGCCTTTTACAGCGCCAGAAGCACCGATGTTTCATTTCGGCGCTTACGGCAGCCTTTATACAGCGCCATTTTTTAATCTGTTCTAAGAACAATATGTATGCCCCTTGTGCTCCTTTGGGCCAGTTTTTCTTGAACACTTCCATATCATTAGATAATACCATTCCGATTTTGTGTCAGCTCTCACATACACGTGTATGACCACGATTCATTTCTTCACCTTCGTGAAATATAGCGCTTATTACCTTGTACTTTTTTTCATTAATCGTGATATTACTCGTCGGCACGGCGTTAATCCGATTGTTGATAATTTTTTTAGAAGCACCGTTTACAAAATATATATTTGAGCTTGTATTACTACGACGGATAAAGTTGATTCGATTACGGTTTTTCCTTTCACCACGGTACCCTTACATTCGTTACAATTGCCGTTTATCGTTTCCCATTTAGAAAATTCTACATAATCAAACTTTGTAGAGTGACACCTTTTTTCCTTTTTAATGTCGATGTATAGGTAATATTAGCAAACTACTGCTTTCCCGCTTAGTTACATTGTAATTACATTTGACATTCGAGCAACATGTTACGTGCTTTAATTCGAAGTTCTAATACATCATTGATGTCGGAATACGTCGACATTAGAGCCGTAAAAATTCCGAAACATCTTGTTTGTTCGTTCTTCGAAGCGTTTTCCGACAGATCTTCTAACCGCTTGAATGTTGCAATATTTACGTTCACCATACGCGCAGATAGCATCAGTCAATGCATTCGATGCTTTTTTTTCAGTATTTGTGCCTAATACGTACGCAATGAAACGCACATTGTAATATTACATAGCGTAACACGAAACAGCATCGTTATTGCAAAGGCCATAATATTTTCCTCGTAACTATACTTTCTGGTTCCTCACATCATAAATCTGCACATCATCAATGATATTAGGGATAGCCCATCGACGATCGTACATTTTCACAACCTTTTTCTCGGACCGATTTATTTGTGGCAGTTTCAGATTTGAATATAGATCTCAGTCGATTATATTCCACAATGCTCTCGAGTTGCTTTAACTGATGCTGGATTGAAATTTATCAAATGTAGGCCTTCCAATTTACTTACTCGTGACAACCTACATAGGCTTGACCAATCACTGAATACAGTCGTTCCTAAATCCATCATTGCATTGTTACATGTAATTCCTTGACTTTTGTGTATAGTTATTTCATACTGAGAGACAATGGAAATTGTTTCCGATGTACCACTATTTGTGGAATACTTCAAATTTTAATATCTACTTTTGTTATTGCGATTTCTTTGTTACCCGAAATAACTATTTTGATGGAATCAATACGATTGCCGTCAGCAGAGCGATTAACTGCAACTACATTGCCTATCGTTCCATTGACAAGTCCCAAAGTTACGTCAATGTTTTCGTCGAATCATCACTTTAGCGCCAATTTTAATCGCTATTACTCTTTCATTGCCAGCTGTTTCAGACACTTTCTCATCTTTGTCTTCTAAAATTTNAAACTTTAATTTTAGTGCAAGAAATTTAAATATGAAAAAAAAAAGATACGTGGTGGGGGTATTTTGAAAAATTAAACATTTTTGCAAAATATGATCATGCCATTATAAAGAGCTTTCGAAACCATAAAACTTTTGCTGGAAACATTTTTTATATTTCTCATTATTTCGGCGATATTCGCTTGAAAACGTAAACACCGATTTTATTTAAGGGGATGCTGCACCCCTAAAACCGAATATCAGCAGCTAAAAAAAATTGTTTCGTGATTAGGTTCATCTACTCTAAACTTATACAAAGTTTTTTTTGAATTTTACACTTGCCGAACTTCCCTTGTAAGTTGCTCAAGAACGGAAAATGTACTTTAGAGACATTTCTCTCTTGTACAGTTTCATTGCACTTACAGCAATCGAGCTTATTCATCTCGTGTAGTCGGTACAAACTGGCCGATCTTAATTACAAAGATGATCTCATAGCTTTAGGATGTATGAAATAATCGTCACTAATACGCAGATATCTGTCTTGTATGAATATAGGGACGTGGATAGTATTTTTTACCTAAACTTTTTGAATAAAATCATAAAAATAAATAAAAAAAAACTTGTTGTCCAACATTTATCATTATATGCTATATCGACGTATGTCGATTTGCCTCGATATTTTGTACGAGGATATAAGTATATTTGTTATTATGTAACATGCGGTTTTTTCAAATTCAAATTTATTATTTATATAATGTATTATATGTATGTCGTAATTCTCGGTTGAGATTTGTATATATATATATAAATATTATATTACATACAGTATAATATTACTTATAAATATATATAGTTAATAACTTTTTAAGATACAAATATATTAATATGCGGAATAATACTTGTATGTTATGTAAAATATAAAGATAATATATATATTCATTATTATATTATAGGTATCGTTGGATTAAAAACGGAAAAAACTTTGAATGGCCGGCGTATGACGATCGCATTTCTCAACAGCCTGGTCGAGGTACCTTAGTGATTTCAAGACCAAGGGACGAAGATCTAGGACAGTATCAATGTTTTGCGGAGAATGAATGGGGTATAGCCACATCGAATTCGGTGTTTGTTCGAAAGGCTGAATTGAATTCTTTCAAGGATGAAATCCGATAACTCAGAATGCAAATGAGGGTTCCCCCTTCAAACTTACCTGCCAACCACCAGATGGCTGGCCTAAGCCGAACGTTTACTGGCTAATTCAGGATGTTAGCGGTGGTATCAAGTCAATCAATAATTCCAGGATGACTCTGGACCCGGAGGGTAATCTCTGGTTCAGCAATGTCACGAAGTACGATGCCTCGGAAGAGTTTTACTACGCCTGTGCCGCCACATCTGTGTTCAGAAACGAATACAAATTAGGCAATAAGGTTTTGCTAAACGTAATTTCTACAGGTGCATCCACCGGCCAGAACAAGTATCCCCCCGAGAGACAATATGTCAGCAGGAAAAACGAGGTCGCTCTGCGCGGTAAGAAAGTAGAGCTGTACTGTATATTTGGTGGAACGCCTTTGCCGCAGATCGTTTGGAGCAAAAACGGTCAACTGATCAGTCCGAGCGACAGAGTAACTCAAGGGAACTACGGCAAGTCTCTTGTCTTAAAACATGTCAATTTCGAGGATGAAGGAACCTACACTTGCGAGGCGTCGAACGGAGTGGGCGCTGCCCAGTCGTATTCGATAAACTTAAACGTGATGGCTGTACCGTATTTCACGGTCGAGCCGGAATTCGTGAACGCCGCGGAGGACGAGACCGTGGAAATTAGATGCGAGGCCAGCGGAGTGCCCGTTCCCGAGATCAAGTGGATACACAATGGCAAACCGATATCCGAGGCACCGCCGAATAACAGACGGCGAGTCACGCCGAATTCTATCATCATCGAGAAGCTGGTGAAGAAGGACACGGGCAATTATGGATGTAACGCCACCAACTCGTTGGGATACGTTTACAAAGACGTTGTACGTGAACGTGCTGGCGCTCGATCCGGACATCACGCAACCGCCCATGGATATGAGTACGGTCGATGGCAAGACCGTGCGGGTCACATGTCGCGTTTTCGGCGCGCCCAAACCTGAGGTCAAGTGGATCAGGAACGGACAGGAATTGACTGGCGGTCGATACAAGACTTTAGACTCGGGCGATTTGGAAATTGAAAATGTGATATTCTTGGACGCGGGTACTTACACGTGTCACGCCTCCAATAAATTCGGCGAGGTAAAGGCGTCTGCCGTTTTAGTCGTGAAGGAACACACTAGAATAACGGACGAGCCGGAGGATTACGAAGTCGCGGCGGGCTCCACTGCCACATTCAGGTAAATATATCTCGTAAAAAGAAAAATTAATAAATTTATAATTCTGAAACTGTTTAGAAAAATTAGAAACCTTATTTTTAATCTTTCTTTTTTTGTGTTTGTTTAGGTGCAATGCTGTTACTGATCCCAGTCTACCTCTGGTTATAGACTGGTTGAGTAATGGTGAACCGATAGACTTTGAGATGGAACCCAGATTTATACGGAGCTCCGATTATTCTTTGATGATCACAAAGACGACCGAATTAGATTCCGGTACTTATACTTGCGTTGCGCACACCGAACTGGACGAAGCGAGAGCGCAGGCGACGCTGATAGTTCAGGATGTACCTAATTCACCGAGATTAGTTGGTATCACGTGCACGTCGAAGGAAGCCATTGTTCAATGGATACCCATGGGCGATAACAGAGCACCCATTCTGCGCTACACCATTCAATACAACACTAGTTTTACGCCGGATACTTGGGAGATATCCAAAGATTTTGTTCCCGCCACCGAGCAGAGATATTCAGTGCCCATGTCACCGTGGGCTAATTACACATACCGCGTTCTCGCATGGAATAAGATAGGTGAGACTTTGAAAATTAAATTATGTACAATTGTAATAACATAATTCAGCTTCGAATTGATCGCTAAATTATACACGTCATTATGCGACTTTCTACTTCGTTTTTCGAGGATAAAATAAAAACTTTAATACATTGTAATATTTGCAACAGGTCCATCTCTACCATCACCACATAGTGACGTTTGTACCACCTTACCGGATGTCCCTTATAAAAATCCGGACAATGTCATGGGCAAAGGCAACACACCGCAAAATTTGGTTATCTCGTGGACGACTATGCCGCAAGTAGAGCATAATGCTCCCAGATTTATGTACCGAGTGTATTATAAGAGAGATATACCCGGTGAGAAATGGACTATTCAAGATATAAACGATTGGAGAAAAAACAAGTTGCTAGTGGAAAATCAACCTACATACCAGAGATACAAGCTTAAAGTCATCGCAATAAACGAGAAGGGAGAGAGTAGAGCATCGGCTGAGGAAATTACCGGATATTCTGGGGAAGACAGTAAGATCTGATGAAATTACTTTATTATTAAATAGCAAAGTTTGCCCATTATATTCGGCAGTCGATAATTGTACGATTTAATTATCATTAAATTATTTTATTTCAGTACCTCAGCAAGCGCCAGGTAATTTTACACTAAATCAAGTAAAATCGAGCACGACCGCTCAACTGTCGTGGAGTCAGGTGCCGGAAGAATCGGTGAGGGGCGAGTTGCAAGGATACAAAATTCAGACGTGGACGGATAAGGACGGCGAGAAAGGAATGCGCGAGATCGACATTCGCGGCGGCAACAAGACGCATGCGCTGGTCACAAAGTTTGTTCCGTACAGCAGGAATAACGTGAGAATACTCGCTTACAATGGCAGGTAATGAAAAACATTGGATATACACGTATTCGATTGTCGTGTACTGTTTCTCTACATAATTATAATAACGTGTTTTTGCGATATATAGATACGCCGGTCCTCCGTCCGAGACTTTGAGCTTCGAGACACCGGAAGGAGTTCCCGGAACGGTACTTAGTTTTGAAGCATTTCCCATAGGATCCAGCGCTCTGTTCCTTGTGTGGACGCGGCCCGCGGAACCGAACGGCATCTTAACCGGATATAGGATCTATTATCAGGTTGTGAATGGCACGAAATTAGGAACTCTTCTCGAGAGAAAACCGCATGTTATGAATCCAGACGACACGACCGCCAAATTACCTGGGTTAGCGCCTGACACGATATACCGCGTTCACATACGTGCCACAACCAAAATTGGCGAAGGCAATGAGTAAGTTTACAAGAATACAGAAACATAATAACATTTCTATAAGACGATAATAAAATTTTACGTTTATACAGCTATTTCATTGAACAAAAGACACGAACGTCTAAAAAACCTGACGTCCCGCAATTTACATGGGAAACTGTACCAACGGAAAATGGATATGCAAACGTGAGAGTAATTTGGGTACCGAATCTGAACGGCAATCCGGGAAGTCATTTTTATGTTAAACACAAGCTCAAGGGCGAAACGATATCTACGGAGACTGATCCCGAATTTCTATCGAACGGTATTGAGGTAAGTTTACAGTAATGATTAATGATAGATAATCTTTATTGCAAAAAAAAAAGAAAAATTAAATATTGTATATATTTAACAAATAATTATTGATTCACACAGTTGCGTGGTCTTCAAAGCGGTGAAGTCTATGTGATGTCGGTTGTTGCTGTCGACGGAGATTACGTGACTGAAAGCGCTTCTCAAGAAGTGGAGACGAGCAGTGAAGGGCCCATTATTCAACCGAAGGAAAATGTCGCAACGGCTGGTTGGTTCATAGGTGAGGCTACTTCTTAGTTATCACGATTATCAGATCTGATATTAGCAAGGTGGCATATGTTAAAGAGTGTTATGATTTTCCTAGGAATGATGCTGGCGATCGCTATCCTCCTCCTAGTGCTGATAATCGTTTGCGTGATTAAACGAAACAGAGGTGGAAAGTACGCGGTGCATGAGCGAGAATTGGCCGCTGGACGTGGCGATTATCCCGAGGAGGGCGGATTCCATGAATATTCACAACCACTGGACACCAAATCGGCTGGTGGACGCGCGTCCTTAGCATCATCTTCTCATCAGGATGGCAAACATCCTGAATCGGACACGGACTCCATGGCGGAGTACGGTGACGGTGATACAGGTTGGTTATAGAATTTTACACACAGTAAACGGCCCTCAGAAATATCTAAAGCATTAGAAAAGTCTGTGACCTACATACATGTATGGTATATAAATTAAAAGTATATTGTGCATGAGTTTTTTCATTATCAAACATGATTGATTAGATTCATTTCCATACATATTATTATGGTGAAAAACTAGCTTAGATACATATTGAATTATTGTTATAATATAGAGAGGTATCAAATCTTCATATTTCATATTTCATATTTCACATGAACACAGCTAAGAATAGTGTGTCACGAAATTATTCTTATCTGCAAGTGCTTTTCCCTTTTATATGTTTCATTATTACACTTTGCAGTTGCAATAGCATAAGTTGATTGTATTTACTTTTTAACGTTTATATTTTGTCTTAGACTTTTATTTTCAACTTATTATATTCAGTTTATATTTTGTTATACACTTTATTTTTGCTTTACACATTTTGCTTGAATCGATACAGAGGGCATGAACGAAGATGGTTCTTTCATTGGTCAATATGGCCGTCATCGTAAGCAGGAACCAAATTCGCAAGCATTTGCCACTCTAGTCTAAGGTAAGCTTGACACAAACATGTTTTTAACGCTAAATCACCGCATATGAGCTTTGAAACAAAAAATATCGAACTGTTTAAAATTTGATATATTATTTATTCTTTTACAAAGTTGCATGCTAATATTTTTAACGTTTAGTAAATATTATTTCAAAGCCAAACTTTAATACACGCACATACATATACATACACATAGGTTTATACATTTTATGTATAAGAGCAGTGTAGAATTCGCTATAAAATTTGGAATCTGTCGTTTGTTCTAGGTCGCTTCACTGAAGATGGATCCTTCATCGGGCAATACGGACCTAAAGGTAGGCCAGAGGAGACACCACCAATTCCGACTGGCACTATGGCCACGTATGTGTAACATCTACAGCTATGTTAATCAAAGTCGCATAAAAAAAGGAAAAAAAGGAAAAAAAAACGTTTTCTCGTTACGGTTAAGGATCAGAGCCCGATCCTTGGCTACTGCAGCAGCTCTGCTATGCACCTTGCGCTGGGCGCAATGTCCAACACTATACTGCCAATTAGACTCTGGGGATTTGGGTTTTATAGTTCCTATAGAGTAAACCGTGACTGTCTTTCACACTCATTTACACATTTATAGATTTCCGATGCGCAATAATCGGATACGAGTTTTGAGTTTCTGAAATATTCAAAAACATTCCATATATATTTTTTCGCTTTTTAGCATTTTTGAACGTGTAACAAAAGTAAGTCAATTTTTGTTACGAATATTTTTTTCTTCATTCCATTGTCAAGAGTGCTGATAATTTGCAATACACAAGGGCATATCTCTATTTGAATGATAAAACCCAGAAACTGTAGGTGTTTCATAGCGTGCAAGCTATTTATGGAAATAGTATCGTAGAAACTATTCTAGCATTGATCGTAATATTTGACAGAGCCAGATTGAGTTGGACACGCCGATTGGTGACAAGGTATACGAATTGTTCCAGACTTGTGACATACTTTTAAGACTGCATGTAGTATCCAATGTCAACATGACGCGCGTTGATTTCTAAATTTATTACGACGTACATATATATAAATTTTTTAACTTAGTATCGAGTATTATAATTGAAAAAAAATTTGGAAATTGCTTTTGCTAAAAGTAAACATTATTGCTTATTCAATACAAGTATTTGCACATCTCTCATTTTTCAAGTCATTTATTGCGTTGTTACTTACATTTATGTTTATAAATTTTTTTCTAAATTATCAGATTACTCTTGAAAAATGCTTTATAGCGTCCACTTGAATTGTATCCATAAGAAGAGATTGGACAATATTGAAATAATTCAGATTAACATAATTTTCTACCGTACATATAGAATACAAAATTATTAGGGATAAACGTATAAGAGTAAATAAAAATATTTCTTTCTCTTTTACGAGAGTTAAATACTTGTATCGATAGCCAATAAAAATTATTTTTAATAGAAATTCTTTTATTCTAGTAATATATTATATTCGAGTAACTGTAATATATATATATATCGAAATGTATTCACAAAGTGTTAAATCTTAGTGCCTATATTGGACTTGAAAATATTTATGATAATGAAATTATTAAATTTCTAAAACGTAAGTGACATTCATGCTTTAAATGAGACACATTAATTGAAATTTTCGCGATAAATGCTTTTATTCTAATAAAGCTTTATTGTGAAATTGGTGCACAATGGAATTAGAAAGTGTTTACGGCAAATTTTTACCATTTTATATTGTATAAATAAAGCGAATATACAATATATATATGATTTAGATTAAAAAGATCGTATATTAACTAAAGATTTTGTAACGAAAATAAATCAAAATGATTTAAAACGCACGTTACATGACAGAGTGAATGATACTATACATTTACATGCAATCTTGAAAATGACAAACAATAAAAAAGATAGTGTCGCAATCTGGCTTCGACTGATTTTAACTGTAATCTTCTAATGGACGGTTTCTAAGAACCTTTAGCCGCGATCAATTTTTACTCTGCCGAAAAAGGGCCAAATCTAAATGAACGAATAATATAATCTACATTTGTCATGCACTTACACTTTTTCATTATTAACAAACACACACATATATATATATATATTTACATACACATATGCGCAAACAAATGAGGACACGCAAAGGATAGTAAAGGGTAAAGTAATATTGAAGAGGAGAGATTGTATATGCACCATATAAGTAGATAACAAAAATCGCAAGGCCTCTATAAGTAATTGTTGCTTTTGTATGTGAAACATGCTTCGACACGAAAACTCTTATTTTTTATGAGAAAGTTTACTTTTTTTTGCTTTTTTGATAATTTTATTATAATCCAGTAATTGTAAGCTAATGCTACATAATTATTTAATATATATACATAAAGATATTAAATATATATTATATATATATATATATATAAAGAGAAAGCGAAAGAAAGAGAAAAATGAAAGAGACATTATATAGATATATAGATATATATATATATATATTAATTATGAATTATTATAATTATTATTAGTAATTTTTTAAAGGATGCGACGATCACACAAGCAGAGCAACTATTATATAATTATTATTACTTAGTGTATGAGATGTTAAAATTTGTTTAAACCTTTAAGTGCGATTTGTACAAAAAATTTGTTTAGATAAACGTTAAGTTAACATTAGTCAATGCGGTGTACAGGTTGTCTGCAAAAGTGTCGCAAGCAAATATGTCAGGTACAAAGATAAAGCGAAACAAAGATAGGTACAAAGTGTATAATATTTATGATACGTATGAATATGCAAAGAATCATGAATTATAGTACTTTTAAATGATATATCATCACCTGATATCAGACAGGACTACTAGCCCGTGTCTTTCTGCATAACGCGAATTCTTATAAGGAATGTATCCTTTTATATACCGAACGCAAAAAGTATCTTTCAGATACAATTGAAATATATTTGTTACGGTCTTTTTTGCCGAACATCCTGTACAAGTGACTTGGACGTCACACGATATAATTAAGATTTTTCTTTTTAATTACACAGTATCGGCTTATATCGCAATAATATACGAGCGTTTTCGTATTATTGTACGTCCGTTATGATGTTATTCATATATTGATGTTAAAACCAAAATAATCTTAGAGGAAGAGCGTGAATATTGTAGACGGTTGTGTGACGGATGCTAAAGACTGCGCACTGCGATAAACAGCTGTCATATATTCAATCGTTTATTCGCGAAGGAACCACTTGCGAGAGTTCACTTGAACCTGGTTTATAGCTTTATCGGTATATATACGTACATAAGCGAAAGATTGCGATATATTAACAGTATGAGACAATCTAATATCATCGATCGAACATAATAGTGAGGATGCAACTCTGTGCAATCTTTAAACTTACTCTCGAGACCGTAATTATAGACACATAAGATTTTTCTCGGATCAATATCTTGATATTATTATGATCGCGCTAGCAATAACCATGACGAAATTGACGATGGAATTATAGATCTTATCTTTGGTAATCTCGATGTCCAAGTCACACACAAGACACACATACACAAAAAGACAAACATACACACACGACGAAAGAGCGCGTTTTTAGAGTATTTTTCTATTATGCTAGCCTCTCGATTTTTATCCGGGATATGAGCGATCATTCGTTCTGCACATCAATAAACCATCAGTTTAGACTCGTTAATCTATAATATTATACATATTATACATGTATAAAAAAAAACAACTTCCATATACTTTCGCACGAGCAGCAGCTCTTCGTACGTTTAATATTTGTATTTCTCTTCTTTATTTTTTTTTATATAATTTTGTACTTTGTATAACAAAAGAAATTACTTGCGTTTTATTATGCGCGATTTCCCATCTACAAACGGATGCGTGCGTTGCGTCGATTTTGCGTATCTCGTGTTCTCCTTCGAGATGGAGAACACATCTACAATTACTATTACTCTGCTTTTGGTATTAGGTTGCGTCGATGAAGGGAGAAATGGTTCGTGATTTTACTATTCAAGAGTGTTCATTGTACAACGAGCACGCACACGTTGTTCTAAAAAAATATTGTAGTCTTGATTCTTTTACAGCGACTTTCTCTTGGAATCTCGATTATTTCTTAATGCACAATTAAGTGTTCATTCTCAATTAGTTTAATTGATCGCAATATTATACGTATATTTTATATTGAGATATATATATTATATATCCTACTATTAAATGATAAGCGCGAGAGAATAGTATTATATATAATAATCGATAACACACGTTTGCGTTAACGTACTTCCGAATCTCTTTCAATGTTATAAAGTTACTTAAAAACATTACGTCATAAGATCATTGTAGAATGTTCGCCGTAAAAAGAGTCAATGATGCAGAAACGACGAATCTCGATGATGTAATACAACGTGTGCCCGCTTATCGTCGTGCGAGTTCTTTATATCGTATATTACCTTATTGATATTTACTAAATAGTGTGATGCTGATGTGTTTTTTTTTTCGCCATTTTATTACACGTACAGCTATAGAGAAAAAGGAGAGTGAGTGAGCGCATTTCCGTCTCATCGGCCGTTCATAACAGTTTTAGACATAATTTTTCTACGAGATTTAAAAGACCGCAGAGTTTTCGAAAAATGTGCACACAGGGCGCTCCATCCAGCTTTGATAACGCTTTGAATTTAATCGACTCGTATTGCGAAGAAGAAATCGCTTATGTAGAAAAAGCTGCGCATATATTGACATGAAAAGGCACAAAACTTTTGGCCTAACTTTCATCGTGCAAACATCCTTCATCACATGAGCGAGTTGTTGAATATCGCGCGATTGGATGGATCACCCTGTAGAGAGAAAAAGAGAGAGATCTCGTCTCTTCGTGAAAGCAGCGGGATACCGAAATCGGACATCCATATACATATATTGCATAATTCTAAGCGAAAATATTATTATATCTTTTTAAGTTTACTCTCATTCACGATACGCGTATCGATGCGCATCCTGACATTTGTCCGCATAACTCATGTCAATGAAATTTAAAAAAAAGGAAAAGAATAAACGAAGAGGAAATCCACAAAGAGGGGCATTATAGTTCGGATCCATCCATTTTTACGATTCAATAAATTAAATCAATAGCGAGATTCCTCTCATTCGTCATTTCCATCCAGTAAAATTAATATACAATTTAATCTTTAACATTAGTTTCTTATATATTAATTTCTACGAGTATTTTAGATATATAATTTCAAATTCTCTTCAAAGGAACATGAAACACAAAATACATACGCGTATAAATACATCTTTTATTTTGATAAAACCATTTTAAGAGTAACAACATTTCGCCTAAAATTATAATTTGAACACAATTACACGTTATGTTCTCTCTAAATAGAATCTCGTCCTGGATAAATCCGCCGACTACGCGAACGCAGAAATCGAGCAAGATGTGATCGATAATGTGATTATGCTAGACGGGTTTTTTTTTTGCGTCTGTATTCTCTCGATCTTCTGCGAGCTACTCCGGATCCTTTCTTTCTCTCCCTCATCGCGGTTTGTGCCACAGACGAATAAAAGATCGAGGGAGAATAAAGGGAGATGCGATCGGGGCAGACCTTCCACAGAAATATAACTGCGATCGAACGGCAATTCTTCGATCACTCGAATCTCTATATGTGGATATAACAAGCATATTTCAATTTTGGAGTCTTGGACTGCTGTACATTCGCAAAATGAGTAAAAGTAATATACCTAATCTAAAGAGGACAAAAATATTTGATTACAATATATACAACTTACATCCTCCTGTTACAAGTTTATCTTGCTCGATTTTACATTAATCAAAAATTGCGAGATTATTTGTCTTTCGAAAAGAGATGCAGATTTTTGAAAAGTTTGAACTTAATGAAGGATCGCTCTATGACATGCATATCAGAAATATCTGCCGAAGAGTAATCCGGCGACAAAACGTGCAATCGATAACGCAACCTACACGCGTTATATACATGGTCCATGGGAACGGGAAAGCGAGACGAGTTGTAAGAGAGCGTCCGCGAGGCAGGCAGGCTGCCGGTTTATTCCTGATCGAATGTTTTTGTACGTCCGCCGCGCAATCCTAATTGAATTCGCTGTTGGCAGGCGAAGTTGCACCGGGAGAGCCGTATTATACGTAGAGAATTTCTCATTCTTTTCTCAAAACTTGCGTCCGTCCTCTCGGTTTCTCTTCGAGATCAAAATACGTGGTTCCAAAGTGGACCTCTCGAGTTTGGAAAGAATCGCGATGCAGGAATTGACGTCATTTTTCCCGTACAGCTGATTCTGCAAGGATTATAAAAATAGTTTATAAAAGATAAAATTAAATAATCGAAGGAATTTATGAGGTACTTGTATAAAAGGGATTCGTACGTGATATTCCGTCATTGGATGTTTCTGACCGTGCCTTTAAGAATTTGTGACCATTCCGCAACATGTTCACGGTCGTACTGGAAGAAGCGTACCGGAAGAAGAAGGATAAAGTAGAGGAGGAAGACGGAGAGGCTTTCAGCTGCGTAGGATAACAATGGACTACTTGTTGGAGGTAGTCCGTTCCACTGATACAACGGTTATACTATTGATTATTCATTGAGGATAGACGCTCTTGAAGAGAGTATCGGCGATTCGGAAGATCCATCTAAAAATAGAATTCTAATTCTAATTCTAATTATATATTTCCGATTATTGATGAACGTGAACTTTTCTTATACAATCTGGGGAAAACTTCCGCTTCGTCGCGTCGTAAACTTCTTGCATATGTAACATGAAGTTTTATAAAATCATGAGTTCGTGGTAACATCATCGAGGCATCACGATAATAAATATAAAAATATAAAGGAAAAGGGATGAAATAAAAATTTATATTTTATATCAAAGAGATGCGTCCCTTTTCCTCTTATTTTTCTTTCAGTTAAACATTCAGTGTTTCCTCGATGTGCTTAAACTTGAACGAATCTTAAGTATTAGAAAATATGTGTATAGCAATTTATAAGTATTTTGTAATGTGTAAGTTGAGCGTAGAATGCAAATGTGAGATGTGGTGAATTTACGCAACACGGAAGTAAAATTCAATTGTCGGCAAGATATAAAGAACGAATGGGGAAACTGCACAGAAAACCGACAATTAAAAGACGTTAAAAAAACTGGTTCTCCGTCAAGACTTCTTTTCACTTTTTTCTTGCTAATTTGAATTTTGATTTCCGTGTATTCCTATATACACTTTTTCAAGTTTCCAATCAAACGATTTAAAAATGGATTCTGCAATTATGTGCATCCGAAATTAAAGAGAATTAAAATTCTCGAGATTTATTTATTGCAAAAATGAATACGTAATTGAAATTTTTATTTTTTTACTGTGAATGCCTAATTTATAATATTAGAAGTTCCATAATCCTCTCTCTTGCCGTATTCTTGCAGTTTATTATAAGTCTAAATTCGATCAATCGGTCCATTTTTAACTCGTATATTAAATAGTAAGAAAATTATTCAAGATGATTATGACTTATACATGTAAAACTAAATATTCTTCAAGACTTATTTTTCCAAGATAGTAACCCAGACAGCACCATGTCTAAAATTGGCGCATAAGATATCTTTAACAAATTCTGATATTATATCCAAAAGATATCTTAAAGAAGTTTTATATGCGCCAATGTTGAACATGGTGCTGTCCGGGAAGAAACGGGAAAAAGCGTCCGAAGCATGTACGAAAAAGCGGAGAGCGATGGCTGTTTGCGTTGTGCACGCAGCCTTATTCCGTTCGAACTCGCTCTCCCCGGCGTGCTCCCGAGAGTCCGTCTGCGAGATCTCTATCTCGCTCTTCACGGAGAGGTCTCTCGGCCTCCCTCTCATTGAGAGTCAGTCAGTCAGTCAGTCAGTCTGACGGAGCGACGCGGTTCGCACGCATCGTACCGTACGCGACAAGCGTGCAGACACGCACGCGAGGATTCATCTCTTTCGAAGCGATATCATATATATATACAAATCCTTCTTCTCTCCGCTTCCCCTTATCAATCGAGGGGGTGGACAACCGCGCATTGAAATCACTTCGTCATCGGGGAGGGGAGGGTAGAAAAGAGGATCCTCTCCTCCGCACCGTGGGTTACGTCCGAGGTGACCCCGTGAAATCCCAGATTTCACACGCGTCGAAGCGGACGGCACGCGAGCTCCGCTTTCAGGGGAGAGATAAGCGACCGGGGAAACGTTGCCCTCTGCGTTACCTATCCTATCTGTATCCTGTTTCTTTTTTTTTTTTTTTTTCGACGACTGCCAGAGGGAAGGAGCGGTCTTCCTCTTCTTCCTCCTCCTCGCACCGGTGTCGTGCGTGCAACACCTGGCGGTGGCACCAAGCGGTCCTCGTCGCGGACGATTATTATGCGATCGGCTGCGGCCGCCCTGGCCGCGGTGACGGCGCTCGTCGTTCTACTCCTGGACGACGCGCTCGCCCGGCACAAGAACCGCTCCGGGAACGGCGCCCAAAAGCCGTCCGATATCTCTCTCTGGATCAATCAGCAGCAGACGAAGATGTTGAGCGGTACAGCGTTTCAATCTCTAGCGAGCTCTTCTTCCCTTTGAGAAATTTTCTTTTCCTCGGGCGACGCGTCGCGATACCTGAAATATGTGTCTCCAATAAGATTTCAATATCGAAAAATATTATTTCATATAGAATAATTTCTCTATTTCCTTCTTCTGTGTACCGGGTTTTTACGATAATGAAATTTTTACAATAATAAAATAAGCATGTCTTTAACAAAATTGTGTTCTGATCTAGGACTGGAGATAGAAATATACGCGATCGCGGAGGGTAGAGTAATCAGTCACCTCTTGGATCCAGAATTCGAGAGTAAACTGCCGATAATTCCAAGTGAGGTGTCGCACGTGAACTTCACGTGGAAGGCCGGGACTAAAAAGTATTATTACAATTTTTTTCGCTTGAAATCGTTCGACGAGAGCATTCTCAAAACTCCATCCATCACGATTGAGACCAAAGGACGAGTGCCTAAGAGACCGAAAGGTAACAGAAATTAATATATATTTTTTAATTAATCAAACATTGTAATTAAAACTGTGAATAGATATAAATTTAAGTAATGAATGTAACTAATTTGCGTAATTTTATGATTAAAAATTTTTTTTAATTATATATACTTTTTCCTACACATCAGAATTTCTTGAGAAACAATTAGAAGAAGTCTTGCAAACGAAATATTGTAAAAGATTGATGAACGCTTAAGAAAGAATCGTCTACGACTTTTCATTGCAGAGTCAATAATCCTTGAAATAGAATGATTTAAAGTTTGAACAATCGTAAATTGCGGTTAAGCATTTATTTGTCTACGAAATACTCGTACGATGATTTTTCGCAACGTCAATCAACAATACAAGATGCGGAGTTTTATCGTCAGTGTGCTTAATAGCATTTTCGCGTTTGTCAGTTTGAAGTGCGTTTAATTCCTAGAATTGGATACCCGATTCTAATTGAATGCACATTTAGCTTTTATCGCGTAGAAATATATTTTTAGCACAAAATTTCATTTGTATTCAACATCAATTTTACACAATTTATGAAAATAATGACTATTCTCACGCTTATCAGAGTCGTGAAGTTTAATCTTTTTTGGGACATAGTATAAATACCACGCCAATAGTCCATATTTACACAGTCAAAGATGAAGAAATTTCGGCTCGTCAAATCTTTCCCCAATATTTTAACAGAGCAAAGATATATTTTACTTGTTTGCACGGAGATATATATATTTTCTTTTCGCTTTAAAATTTTTCGTTTAAAATTCAATATAGATCTCTTATATACGACCTATACAAGTTGCATCATTTTTAAATATTAAGTAACTTAAACATAAAAGTCCCAAATCTGTCAATCCATTTTTATTTCGTAAATTTTTATTAATTGCTGAACAACGCGGACACAATTTGGCTGACAAAATCCGCGACACATATACAGAGTGTAACTGAATATATATGGAGCACACCATCAAATTTTCTTACCAATTTGGAGACGATTTTCCTCATTGAAAATGTCGAGGCGCCAATAATTTTCAAATTGTCAATAATTGAAAAAAGAGCTTCTCACAAACTAAACTTTTGTAGAGTTAAAATTTTAACAAAACTACGTAGTCTTCGGTTAATTTCAGTTAGAATTTACTTTAATAAAGAATTTTAATTTGAGGCTTAGTTACAGAGATACCAGGTGGCAAAAATTAGGAACATGCAAACAATGATGATCTCCTTCGACGTTTGTAAATTGTTCGCAAAATGATGACGTGCTCCATATATGTTTGTTCAGATACACCCTGCATATGCTTCCATATATTATGCAAACGGAATGCAAAATACTTGATGCTCTTCTCGGGTATAAATTTCGCACAACGCGTGTGTGCGAATCGCAACTGCAGATATATAAGTACATGGCAATAATGTGTTTTCTTTTCTCCGTTGCAGAGTTCAGTGTTCTGCTACCTTGCGCCGGCAAGGGAATAGCGCAATTCGGGATCGGTCTAATGATCGAGTCGCGCAACGGGATACCTCTGAACGGGACGCCGCTACGTTTCCGTTTGAGAAAAGAATGCAGCGTGCGCGGTGAGTCCGTCAGTCGCGCCCACGATCACCACCTCTTCGCTCGCACATACAGTTCTGTATCAGCAGTAATTCATCAGCCTAATTTGTGCCGCATGCTCTTTTTGATCGATCGCCTTGAAGAGGGACAGTCGAACGTGACGTCCGATTGAAAGATGAAAAAAAGAACGACAAAGTTACGTGTCGTTTTACATGTAAAATTCGATTCGAAACACAATATCTTGGCGTTCCGACTGTGCCTCCTCTTTCGTTTTTGTTTGGTTTAATCGACAGCTATCGTTGCATGTGTCCGTAGCCGCTCGTGAACGCTCATTTCGATACTTTGTAAGAAGACGATTACCTTACCCACCTATATCCTATCTCTGCTTCTACCTGATGCCGGCCGAAGCGATGGGTCCGATAATTGTGTGAAGTAGGCGCGTCGAATCTTCGCTCCGTGGCGTGTCGAGGAGATTTACGGTTGTTAAGTCGTTAAGAGATTACTCTTGGAACCTCGAACATTGTGACGAGATCCTGGTCCAACGCAGACATAAAATATCGAAGGGAGTAGCGAATCGATTAATTTTTGACTTGTATTTTTTTTTCAAACATCTGAATCTGTGCTCGCACGGCTATTTTTACGTGTTTACTCTTGCGCTGGAAATAAAAAATTAGCGTTAGCAAAAGAGAAAAGAAAAGAGTAAAAATACTGTTTGGAAAATTTTTAAATACTTTCTTAGGTCTCTAAAAAATATTTCGCAAATTCGGATACGCGCTCTGGTTTGGACCCATCGCAAATTTAGAAGATGTGAATAATCGCTTTAGCGAAGCTTACCTCTTGTAACGAAAGGTATATGAGCCACTCGTTCTAAATTTTATTAACGCTCTCTTGTAACATGTACAATTCTCTATATTACTTTGTTAATTCAATAATTCCATCTTAAATAACGCAAACATTTTGCGCTAATGTTTCTTTCAGGAAATGCACAAACTTTTGCAACTCGGAGAGAATTGACTGACGTATGACGGTCAAAGATTACTCTCTAGCGCTTTAATTTATATTTTTCATTCAAAGTATTATTCCAAATCCAAGTCGTGTGTTTTTGTGCTTGTATGTCTTCTGTATTAGCACCAAAACATTTTTTCCCTCGTTTTGCCTGGCATTTTGTTAAGCGTAAACTCCGGCTCTCCGCTCTTCCTCCAGAATCATTGTTCGCCCGCGATCATGAATTAAGTGCCTAATTGCCTACTTAATACGAAAGAACGCACGAGTCTGCTCGGCTTTTTGACGTTATCCTCGGCTCTCTCTTTCTTTCTCTCTCGATCCCTATGCATTTTAAATTACCAATCGTCAAGTCAAAGATATATTATATTAATAGATTTTACATAAACGTGTGGTAATTAAGAGATTCATTTGTGGCATGTGCATGCGATCAAGTTTATTATATGGATCTCAAGAATTAAAAAAAAAAAAAAAAAAACAAATATAATTCACACGCCGTTTTGATCTACTCGAATTGAGATGGGCAGAATATGATGCTACAATCGCTTTTGTGATAATACATCGCAATAATTCGGAGCACAGCATGTCGAATGTGCAAACGCGAATAATTATCTTTCATTTCGTTGACCGAAGCTGTTGATTGTGTTTTTGCGTTTAAAATAAGATTTAATTAAAAAAAAAATCACAATTTACTCGTGCCACGAAAATGAGATAAAATACATGTTTTAATCTTTTCACATGCGCACAATATCTTCATAACTCGTATTAAGAAATTTAGATTAAAGTCGCGTTTTAATTTTTTTTCAATCCCATCGTCATCATATTTTTATTTACAATTTATTATATATTCTATCATGCTAAATCTTGATAAAAGTATTTTTTTTTTTTTTACTATCAAGCATATTCATTTAATACGCGTAATGAGCTAAGATGTTACATATAGATATAAACTGTCTCTCTTTTATGTCGTCATACGATAAAAAAATAATATATTATAATCTCAATTTCGTGATTTATCGCAGTTTTTGATTTTGAAAAAAAATTTGATCAAATCTGCATGCGTAAGATTGCATGCAATAATCTTATCTTATCGGATTAACAAAATCGATTATACCTGTTATAGGAATATTGTTTGTTTTTAATGGAATTTATACAAAATTTGATTTGTTTAATACGTGTGTTGTGTTTGCGTGTGTGTGTTGCAGCAATATACATATATTATCTTTTAACTTTGAATTTTATTTCTTACAGAACCTAATCCTGGTCCTTGTCCGGACGGTTACCTGGGGCCGCCTCATTGTAACAAAGCGCTTTGTTATCCAAAATGTATGCATGGTGGAAACTGCACGGCACCAGGTGTATGCTCGTGCCCGCCAGGATATCAGGGACCCTACTGTGAAGGAGGTATAACGAATTGTATAGGTCACTTATACAATACATTTTTTCCCATCTCACTGGCAGTCTGATTTTATTAAATCCATAAATTCTCTTTTAAGCTGACGTCATAATAGATCTTTTCATATCCATTTCCTCTATGTAACTTTAAATTATGTATTTTCTTTGATATTTATATCCTATATAAAATACTCGCAAGTCTAAAATATGTACATAAATTTATTTCAAAGAAAAATCAATTTATTTATGTCCATGAAAAGATCAGTGATTCAAAGATGTTCTAAAACTTGGAACATCGTGAAATGTATATCGTCGTATCGACTCAACACATCTGCTCTAGAAAATCCAAGCCGATATAATTTACTGTATGCTTACCTTAATTTTATAAATTACAATATTTACAAATACATTCGGTATTCTTTCACGGGGAATGCACCTTCATATCACCTGGAGATGGATATGGCCGTCTTGCAGCCAAACTTGATGACATTTGTCAGAGCTTGGTAGAAAGGAGCCTGTTCGGCGCCGTGATCTATCCCGGTGTCATGATGCTCCTGTTCTTCGTCGCGAAACTTTTTAATGATCTCGAGTATCTCCTCATCTACGTTCGCATTCGCGTTCTCCATCAAAGTGCGCAACTGATCGTTGTAGTGCTCGACGATGACGGTCTCTACGGCCACGGTGCACGCCATGGCCGCTCTCTCGCCCATGAGAGCGGTACCGGCGCCCAGGCGAAGCCGGCGATGTTCCACAACGGCGTGAGAAAGGGTGGGTCTGACTCGATACTTGCGAATCAGTCCCTCGAACTTAGCGCGATGTCGCTTCTCTTGATCCCACATGTGTTGGATCGTCGGTCCGACTGTCGTCTTGCCTACAAGGATTTTATATTATTAAAACTCGATCAGAATCTTCTCTTATGTATTTTTAACTACATAT